GAGCACTGCAGCTCTCAGTGTTTCTTGACCTGAATATTGACACTGCTSTTCCCCAGCAAAGGGAATAATGTTTGGTTAATCAGCCTGGGAACTCTCAGCTGTCCCCAGAGCTGTGTGTGCYGGTTCAAGGAGCGTTGGAATWGCAGGGTTTGTGTCTGTGAAGCTGTTGGTCACGCAGGTCATCAACTGAAATGCTCCTTCCGAAAATCTACACAAAAAAAAAGCATTTTTAAAAGAATTCTTTACCCCCAGCTGTGACTTCAGTTCAAATTCCAGGTGAGAAGGGCAGGAGTGCTGTGGTTTTACACCTCTGTAGGTCAGTACAGTCACTATTCCTGTTTTCCCAACAGTGGGAATATCCCAAAGCCTCTGACTCCAGAGAGGCCCTAAARGGCTCAGCTTTTTGTAGGATCAGGCCCAGATCCTCAGTTATTTGTCTTGGTACTTGATGCCACTCTTGGGACAGAATTTTCTTTGCCACAGTCCCACGGGGGGGATTTAGGAAATCATTAGATGAACTGAATTCATTCATCTTGAGTCAGTCTTAATATAGCCCTGATTGTGTTTGATGTAATTATGCTGAAAGGATAAAGTTGCATTTTATTTGCATAATTGCAGCAGACAGTGAGCAGAGAAGTGCACATGAAAGAGGAATCACTCCTTGGCAAGGTGGGARCACGCTCCTCTGCCAGCTCAGCCAGGTCCAGGGAACTGGAAAGGCTTGGAGGGGCTTTCAGAGATAACAAAGCAGATTGTGGGGTTTTTTTTGGAGCAGCTGTGGCACAGGATGAACCTGGATCCTGGATGAACCAATATCCTGGTTCCTGGTGCTCAAAGCAGAGCTGTGCTGCTCCATCACACGAGGGAAAAACCCTGGGACTGACCTCCAGAAATTGTTTTCCTGCAAACCTGAACCATCAGAAAGGTGAACAATGAGCTCCCCACCTCTTATTTCTCTTATTTCTCTTATTTCTCTTATTTCTCTTATTTCTCTTATTTCTCTTATTTCTCTTATTTCTCCTATTTCTCTTACTTCTCTTATTATTTCTCTTATTTGTCTTACTTCTCTTATTTATTTCTCTTACTTCTCTTATTTCTCTTATTTCTCTTATTTCTCTTGCTCCTGCTCACCTTTTCCTTTCCCTCGTTCCTGCACCTTTTCCTGTGCAATATTGATCAAACTGGGCAGTTCCCTGCGGTTCCCAGTCCCTGTTACTGGGAATAGTTTTTACAGCACTCCCAGAGCTCTGTTTTTTCCTGCAAAATGGTTTTTTTTTGAAAGTTTTCCTCACCCTCCTCACGTGAATGTGCTCCATCTTCATGGAGAGCAGCTCCCAGGGAAACAGAACCGAGGAAGGGAGCAGCTGGGACAGAAATACAGAGACTGATACAAGCATTTGATCTTAATTATTGAGAGAGCCTGGCAAAAGCTTTGCTGATGTGGAGAAAAAGGGTTTTTACTGTCTGAGCTCAGAACTGGTGCAGCTGAGCAGGGGGATTCARACAGATTTCAGATGAATGGTTCAGTTCCAGGGGCTGTGGATGCAGCTGGGGCTGGGTTTGTGAAGCTCTGGGCTTGAAGGTTGAGGGATGGCTCAAATCCAGCACAGGGATGTGCTCAGATATCTTAAAAAAAATCAAAACTGCAACTGCTGCAAACCAACAGAACGGTCCTTGGAATTTTCAGTTGTTTGTCTTCCAGAGTGAATCCTGTTCTGTTTTCATTTCCAACAAGAGCTGATTTGTTCCTTTTTTGGGGGATTGTATGAACTCAGGAAAAAACAATGAAAGAGTGGTGATTTAAGCAAAATTGAGAATGAAATGTTCTGTTTGGTGGCTCTGAAATGTTTTACCTTCCCAGGCCCAGCATGGCAGAGGGAAGGAGCTGAGGGTTGATTTTGTGTGCTGGAGGCAGTTTGGGGTTTTATCCAGGGCTGATAAATGGGGTCACTCTGCCCTGCCCCAACAGGATCCATGTGCTGCCCACAGCACTGCCTTGGCTCTCCTTCAGTGAGCACAGCACTGGCTCAGATCACCAAATAACACTGGCAAAACTGTGCATTTTGGATTTTTGGTTTGTTTACAGCCTGGTTCGGGGTATTTTCCAGTTCTCTGTTGTTCTCCAGCTTTTTCTGTGTCCCTGGGGAGGGAGCCATGTGCTTTGGAGAGGAACTGGGATGGAAAGATGAGGCTCCAGGGGTTTGTTCTGGGGCTGTGGGGCTGCAGAGCCAGGAACACCACGAGCCAGAGAGGACCC